TCACTTGTTCCTGTGCAGCCTACGCGTGAACCACTTCCACTGTCACAAACAGTCTTAATCTTAATCTTTTCACGATTAAGTCAGTGACGGGTCTGGCGGTGTCGCTGAGGGCCCGGCTGGAATGGACCGGGACCCCCTGCTCCGGGTGGAGGCCCGGCGTTGGGGCGGGGGGGTTGGGTCAGTCTGCCGGAGCAGGTGTGCGTTTTCCCTTGAACGACAGGCCGCTGTTTATAGCGGCATAAAAGCACCTGACCCGCATCCTGGTTGAGCGGAGACGGTTCCTGCGTCCTCGAGGCTCTCTCGGCAACCGCGAGCCTGCGCTAATCCCCGCGCGGCGCGGGTCTCAGCAGCACGCCCTCTCGAGCCGCTGCACAATGCGCGCGCTGTTGACACAGAGATTAGGCCGAAACAGGCAGGATAAAGAGCTCAAAGACCACGTCGAACATGTACTCCATAATATTATGACCGCTATTGTTATACAGAATAATAGACCTATAGTACTATTACTCCTACGGAGAGTAAATATCATTTAATACTCCGATTTTGTTTTGACTATATTTTATTTTCGAGCGTTTCGTCGTAGGCAGATTGAAATAATGAATAACGTGTTGTGTTGGGAGAGATTCCAAGCTTTTTATCCGTGTTATATGCGGATGGACACGCGTTAAGGGAACGTGAAAATCGGTTATCTCTGGTCGGGGAAGCAGAAGCCCTCAGCTCTGAGCAGACTTACAACCCTTCTCCGCCTGCACCAAGCACAAGTCAACAAGCGAACAGACGCACCTGAAATACTCGGAAATGCACCTGAACCCTAAAAGACGCTCGCAGTTAGATGCACAAGCGCTCACGCAGATGAGGTCGGAAAGGTTGGGAGTGAGGGCTCACTTTGACTAATATAGAATTCATAAGGCCCACGTTAGATGGACATAGGTGACCTGAGAGTGTGAACAAGTCTTCCCGGACAGGATATTTGTTAAAGACACCTAATTTCCGCTCTCGTTAGACGCGTTTAAACATAATGGGACAGCGCCCTCTGCTGGGTAACTCAAGTCATGCCTCAAGAGCGCCGGGAACGATCTAATGTGGTTACACATGATCGAAAAACATGAACGAAAAAGTCGACTTGCGTTTGCAGGTTGAAGAATCAATAATAACTCGTTTTTCGAAAGGCGTAGAACTTGCCATGTTCAAGTCGTGAGCTGCAGAGGAGCACCTGAAGGAGGCTCCTCGTCTGAAACCTTGTGTTTGTTTTCCTTGGAAGGAAAATCCCAGCATGGAATGATCTTGACCTGTTCCTCTGCAGACTGCAGTCACTCGAGTGCGTTGTCTTGGGTTTTCACCACTAGGGGGAGACTCTGCAGTATTTTTGATGGTTTGCATTAAAGGCATTTTAAAGTCTGCTTAAAAAAACTATTTTAGCAAATGGAAATCATTTTTCGATTTCTCAACCAATGTGTGGAGAATAATACAATTTTATATTTCGATTTGTCGACAGACCTAGACATAGACCTTTTGACAAAAGGAGTATTTTGTTTTTTGTAAACGAAAGATAAAAAAAATGTTTCCTTCATTTTGTCCTTGGTCTTGTATTCGACCATGCAGTTATACATTACTAAAGAACATGTGAAACACAAATTAGAAGATACATACATTCATTTATTTTTCCTTTTAACCATAAGGGTAAGTTTAAGATATCCCGAAATACATTTGCTGAGAGATCGATACTGTTCAATATGTATAATCCATTGGAGCTAAAGCAGGTAACCGAGTTAGCACGCGCGGGCTGGCTGCAAAGGAACAGGTTTATTCCTGCTGAGAAGCGAAGAAAATAAATGTAAACTCCACGCCGTGATTTCCTTAAAATTGTAAACTGTGTATTAGATCATCCAGGTGGGTGCTGCACATTGGTGGTGGTGGAGGGGAGTCCCCATTACCTGTAAAGCGCTTTGAGTGGAGTGTCCAGAAAAGCGCTATATAAGTGTAAGCAATTATTATTATTATTATAGATGTGTATTTTCAGAACTGACACGATGATACATTTTGGGGCAACACTACAGATATATGAGGAAGTTCATCGTCAGACCCTTTCTCTCGCTGTAAAGGGAACTTTCAAGAACGAGCGCGTTTCCCGGCAAGGTCTTTACATAAATGCAGTGGTTCCCGTATGCGAATCGCATATTTAAAAATAGTACTGTAACGCAATGGGGGTTCAGGCGGGCGCCCTTGCCGCATTGGGTCGGCCCCGCACCATCGGGGGCTCGAACCCGGGACTCCCGCGTCACTCAATAGGGACCCAGCCCGGTGAGCTAAAGAGAGATCTCGCTTTTTCATAGTACCTGTCGACCATATGCGTTACAGTATTTTATTATAGCTAAAGAAAGTTACCCATAGATGAAATTCTAGACTGGGAAAACACCTGTCAGATGATGTTATATCAGGAGAATTTAGATCACGGGCTGTTGTGTTCAAATTGAACTATGTTCAACAGTAGTGCGTACACGTGTATTCACGTGGGGAGCTGCGTCAGCACGCGCAGGCTGCACAGGAACAACAGGTTTATTCCCTGCTAAAAAGAGAAGAAAGAAAACACAACGTTTCGACCGGGGAGCCTTCATCAGGTGTGAATATTGTATTCACTGCGTTGGAGAAAGACGCTTCTGCTCCCGGCTCACTTCGGAGAAGAGCAGGGCGTGAAGAACTGTCCCACACTGACGATCTGAAGAAACGACCCTTTTCAGTCTTGAACAGACACGACCTTTTCAAAATAAACTCGCGAATCAGACGACTAGAGCGCAAACTGCGGGGAAACTCACTTAAAACGGTGAAAAGATACTCGGATCGATTATCTACTTGTTAAAAAAAAAGATCTAGGACGGTATCTGTGCCTAAATGTAAATACTGTACCACTGTTGTGAGCTAAAGATTCGCTTGTTCGTTGCTGTGTAAATGTTAGCGATGTGTTGAACGCTGAGAGCGAGGAGAGTTTCAGTGCGGGACGCCGGCTCTTTAAAGGCAGGGCTGCCCCTGCGGGACGAGGTCATGTGACCACGCGGGTGACGTCACGCATTGCAGCACAACAAGAAGTTCGGCGCTGAGTTTGCGCTCCGAGTGCGGCTCACGGCACCACCTCTTTCATCTTTCATCTGTACCCCCACAGCTCCGGCTGCTCGCACTACCGAAGACATCCGGGCTGCTGGACAGGTACGTTGCTGCCGATACGGGTCCACAGCCTAACCCCTGTGCTTGTAGTTGTTTCTCGTGCTGTTGATTAGTCGTCTCCTGTATTCGGGAGGACAGCGACGGGACTCCGCTTCACAACAACAAGTGTGCCGTGTGTGTCTCGGGGCCGTGGACACAGCCCGGACAGCTGCGGTGGAGGAGAGATGCAGTAAAGCGCACGTCTGGGCTGGCAGACTTCGTGCGAGAGAGCCGACTCAGGCGATCGTTTAAAGAGACAAAGGCGCCTGTGAAATAGGTGCGCTTGTCTCGCGTGTATAAAACACCAGGTGCCACTCGAGTTGCGCTAGGAGCAGACCGAACACGGCAAGGCTTCTTCGTACCGTGTCTCTGTTTTAACAAACTATGGGTTCAACGTTTGTGCATGAATCGTATTTGCTATTTTACGATGCCGTGTAATTCCGGATAGGGATTCCTGTAATTGTCTCAACCAAAAATGGTCATTTGCGCCGGGCGCCGTCCAGTGGGGGTGGAGATGGATACACGGAGCAGGAACGAGCTGGTAGCGGCGGCAGTGGTCGCTCTGTAGGCTTCAGCGCCCCAGGCAGTGCAGCTAATGAAATCACTGAGTAATTATACAGTCCTTCGCAGCTATCAGAGGCGCAGAAGAGATCGCCGTGAAATCCCTCTAAAGCGAAAGATGAGCTGTAAAATCAGCAGAGAAGCACGAAGGACTTGTGGGTTTGCAGAGCTCGGGCACGGCCGAAATAATCCCCCCTCTTGGTTTTTCACTCTGCTCTCATCGTGCCTTCGTGGGGCAATGCTTTTCCACGAGAGAGTCCGGGTCGCTAGAGGCTCGAAACCCATCCGGAACTGGCGCGCGGCGACTCGTTCCAAATTGGATCAACTCATTTGCGAGTTCGAAAAACAGGCCGGCTGTGACCTTGTACTTGAGCCGGGGAATAGCAAAGCAGTCGCAAGCACAGAGCTGCCTTCCAGCTGACACCTATCGTGACATTTCCACCTGCAGGCAGGAGAACCGTCAGACCCATGTTTCCTCTGTAGACAGAACTAACTCAGGTGGGTCTGTTTGCCAGTAATGCAAGGAAAAATCTTTTTTAGACTGTCTGAGGGTCGGTTTTGCAGCACTGCTGCTGCAGTCAGGGTGGGGTCGTGAGGAAGGATCCCTCCTCCTCCTCCTCATGGGACAGCAGGTGTGCGAGTCGGGAATGAACAGGAACACCGGAGCGAACCCACAGACACGAAGGGAAACACGACGATCGATCGATCGAACCCAGGACTCCTGTCTCCGAGCAGAATGACAGACCAATATGTCTTCTGCTATGATTCCAAATACAAGAGGAAGTTTTTCTGTCGTTCGAAGCGTGAATGGAAAGCTGGTTCCCAATTCCAGGTCCCTTTCTAAAGCTTCTCTGAGAGCCAGATCAGAAATGCACTGCTCTCCTGCTCCCTCTTGCCGTTCAGCGGGCCTGGAAGCCCAGTGTTATGAAACGAATGTCTCGTGACTCGCATCACTATCTTCTCATCTCACCCCTCTCTCGCAACAGAACAATGTGCTTGTACTTCCCCATAACACCCCCCAACCTCTCTCTGCGGCATCATGAGCCAGCAACTGCTCGCCCGCACGAGCAACGTTCCCACCAGCCTCCAGAAACAGAGCGGGAGGCTAAAAAGGCTGAAAAGACGCCTGAATCCGAGCAGATTCAGGGACCTGGGCGGGTGGCGCAGAAGTCAGTACCTCGGACCTCAGACAGTGAGCACCTGCCCCTCCAGCTTCCCGAAGAGGACAGGAAGCGAATTGTCCTGCTCGGGTTGCCTGGGATTGTTGGCAGAACTGGAGCACGAAGCTCTGTTTCTGAACAGGAGCGAGAGCTGGTGAAACCTGTCGTGTCTCCAGCACGCGTCTTGACTAGATGTCCTGAGCTGCGGCCACAGACCGTGCAGAAATTTGTTGTCGATTAAGGTGGTGAAACGCATTTCCTCTTTGGAATAGCGAAGAGCCTTTCTAGGGCATTTCAGCTCCTGTATTCAGAGCAGGACTTAGTTTTCTAATGCCTGAAGTACCACTGTGTTTGTTACAAGTGAGAACCAAATCTGTAGTTGTAGCAGTTTTGGGATCACAAGACTCAGTCACATTCACTTGCCAGCTGATCTGCTGTCGCAACCTCTGGTCAGTGAAGGTCAAGAAGTTGAGTTCTCTTGTGGTAATGGGCCTCTGTAACCACACTTTAAATTCTTTCTTCAGCAGCGTTTTAACTCCAGTGTCATCCTTTGGCTCTTCTGTCATCTCTTGGGGGGGAAAAAATAAGGCAAATCTGAAAAGGTGAAGCCTTGTCTTGTGTTTTTGTAATCCTGCCTCGTTCTGTCAGTCTGCTGGTCTTGCTAGCCTCCTGCTGTAACAGACGTGCTGGTGTAGGTGCACAGACCCTGGTCTTCCTGCTCCTGTTAAAAACAAGGGGGGGGGGTTCTTTCTACAGTGTTCAGTCAGTTGGAAAATAGGGGAAGAATGGGCCTGTGGCTCCCGGCAGAGGGGCTGTGTTCAGCTTCCACCCGCTCGGTGTGCAGAGGGGAGGTGTCCGCCACGCGAACAGCTCACACCGAAGAGGCACACGACGGCTTTTCAAACTGCTGGGTCCCATCTGATCCACCTCCTGGTAGAGCGAACCCAGCTGGAGCCCCGGTTCTGGTCACGTTCCTGATGTGGGCCCAGTGTGCCTGTTAACATCAGTGACGGAACCAGAACTGATGTTCAGTAACTACAGTCCGTCTCCCTCCTTCCCTTCCTGGACATGAGCGTTTATACTGGGCTCTAGATTTCTCATTTACTCTTGCTTTTCTTGGGCAGCACAGTGGCGCAGTGGTTAACGCCTCACAGCACCAGCGCCCACTGTTCGATTCTGGACCTGGGCTGCTGTCTGTGTGGAGTCTGTATGTTCTCTCCATGTTGTAGTGGGTTTCCTCTGGGTGCTCCAGTTTCCCCCCCAAAGTCCAAAGGCACCCTGCCAGGTGAATTGGCTTCTGGGGAAACTGGCCCTGGTGTGAGTGTGCGTGTCCTTGTGTGCCCTTCAGTGGACTGGTGTCCTGGATGTGACCTGCTGTAGGCCTGTTGCTTGCTGGGATGGGCTCCAGCTCCCCCAGGTCCCTGAATGAAATGAAACGGTTAGGAAATGGATGGAAGGGTCTTTTTCTGACATTTAGGATATGAGTCCAGCTGGTAAGTCCAGCAGTTAAAGCAGAGCTGTCCCGTCTTTCTCTGCAGTTGTGCTCTACATGATCCTGGCTGCTGAGGACAGGCAGTAAAGCAGCTGAAATGACCACGAAAATGGCCCCAGGTGTCCCCTACGAGCAGGTGAGTGCCCTCTCGGCCTCCAGGACAGACTGGGCGAAATACTGCTTTCAAGATGCTGTAGTGCTACATTTAACAGCTGTAATTTATATCCTTTACAGAGAGCTCTAAACTAGAAAATGTGTGAGAAACAATAAGAATAATAGCTTAGACTTATATAGCGCTTTACAGGTAATGGGGATCCCCTCCACCACCACCAGTGTGCAGCCCCACCTGGATGATGCTCCAGTCTGCTCCCCACACACCAGCTCTCAGTGGGGAGGAGAGCAGAGTGATGAAGCCAGTTCAGAGAGGGGGATTATTGGGAGGCCATGACTGGTCACTGGCCAGGACACTGGAGTAACACCCCTACTCTTTTTGAGAAAAATCCTGGGATTTTTAATGATCACAGAGAGTCAGGACCTTATACGAAGAATGAAGGCTTTTTTATAGTATAGTGTCCCCGTCACTATACTGGGGCATTAGGACCCCCCCAGACCGCAGGATGAGCGCTCCCCACTAACACCTCTTCCAGCAGCAACCTCAGCTTTCCCAGGAGTCTCCCATCCAGGTACTGACCCGGCTCACACTGCTGGGCTTCAGTGGGCTGCCAGCTGGGAGCTGCAGGGTGATAGAGTGGCTGGCTAAACTGTTTTATTTAGCCAGCAGCTGCATTTGTAACTGTTCTGAATACAGAACGAGACAGGAGTGTCCCTTGACAGACGGCGTGTGTTGTTAATGATTTCTAACACAAAGATCTCTTGCAGCTGGTGTCGTTGAGGATGTCAGAGGAGGACCGACTGCCCGGCTACAGGATTCAGAAGTTTTTTAACGAGGTTAGTAGCCAGAGGTGTTTCTGGTATTGATTGCTTTCAGTCCTCGGCGAGAGAACAGACCCAGCTTCCCAGGTCGAAGTTCCGCTGCTGCTCTTTCAGTGCAGCGTGTGACAACTTCCCCTCTGCCAAAGCAGGCGCCACAGCCCAGCAGAAGTATTCGCTGTCTGCATCAGCAATTCCTGAACACGCAGAGCTGAAGAAGAAAATCAGCTACAGGAACTGTTTTCCAGTTTCCAGGAGGGCACAAGTTATCTTTTAAACTTGCATTTCACGGGCAGTGGGGTGGCTCTGTGGTTCAAATCCCGCGGCCAGCAGAGGAATCCTACTCCACTGGGCCCCTGAGCAAGGCCCTTAACCCCAGCTGCTCCAGGGGCACCATATAAATGGCTGACCCTGCGCTCTGACCCCAAGCTTCTCTCCCTGTCTGTGTGTCTCATGGAGAGCAAGCTGGGGTCTGCGAAAAGACAGATTCCTAATACAAGAAATTGTATAGAGCCAATAAAGTGATCTTCTTCATTCTGCTTTCTGTTTTGCCGGTATGAATCCTAGAAAAATGTTGCTATTCTCTAAACTCGGTAAAATTTATGGCAATTGTTTCCTGACTGCTCAAGGGATATTAGTTTGCAACTGTAGACCCATGATTAAAGCAAACATCCTCATACCTCATGAGGAAATTCAGTACTAGCGCCATGCTTTTAAAAAAAAAACAAAACAAAATCAAGCCTCATCTTTTTCTGTGATATAGATTTTTGGTCCAACCAAAACTAAATATTTTGAAATATCCACTTTTAACCTGTTTAAAATCTGCACAGCACACTGGAAATGGGAGTCAGAAAATAACTACAAAGGTCCTATCCCAGCTATGAAATAAACTACAGCAAGCATTTTCAGCACCGTATTAAACTGCATTAGTGACTGTTCGGGAGCTGGATGGGTGTTGGAACATGGCTCAATGGAAGATGCCCTGTGAAGTGAGACTGTGAAGTGTGGTTTTCAGTGACTGTCAGGTGGTGTGCAGTATTACAGGTGCTTCCTGCTGTCTGCTCTCCTGACCGCTCTGCTCCTGGGGATGATGTTTGTCCAGCTGCTGATCCCTGTCCCAGTCTCTGCAACACAGCGGCCCGGCCCTGCCAAGTCGATGCCTCAGTCCAGCTCCTGTGGTGACCCCTGCAGGTAGGAAGCCGTCAGAGCAAGAGCTCGGCATCCAGTCCCCGTGTTCCTGCCATTCAGAGGAACGGGTTGCATTTCCCCTGTAACTCCATCTTCCTCTCTCACCTGTGCAATGGCACTTGCCTGTTTGTGTGCCAGGCCTCCGCAGGTTAAAGTGTGTGACCTGTGGACCTCGAGCCCATCTCAAGTACCTCCGGTCCAGAGCTTTTTTTCTGTGACTCTTCTAATATTAAAACACTCGTGAACTTCCTTCTTGTGAACAAGTAACTAGTCTAGGGAACAAGTTTCTTTGTTAGCTTATTTGTCTTGGCTGTCCAAAGCTTTCTGAGCTGATATGCATACAATTCAGCATCTGTTTTACTGTCTTATTTGGCACTTGTATGTCTGGATTGAGGAAGCCTCTGCGGGCATTTTGATTGGACAGCAGAAGAAAGGGGGCGGGGCGTCTCTTGGCTCAGGAAAAGAAGTCAGTCACGGGTCACGCCCACCCTTGCGTAGCGCTCGGAGCTCACCGTGCCCCCAGACGGGTCACCCGGCTCGCTCTGTTGCAGAATCGTGCTGGTGGAGAGCATCCCTGAAGGAGTGGAGTTCAACTCCAGCACCACCAACCCCTCCATCTACCAGGCGTGGCTGAAGCTGATGGGTGAGGCTCAGAGCAGCCTGGACATTGCTTCTTTCTACTGGACCCTCAGCAACAGGGACACGCAGACCAGTGAGCCGTCTGCAGCACAGGTGAGGAAGCCCTGCTGTCCTCCAGGGGGCGCTCTAGCTGGCTTAGCTTAAGTTCAGCGCTGTCTTGGGCAGAATGGTTCAGCTCCAGTCTTGGAGGGCTGGTGTCTTCTCTGTAGGTTTTCATTATGGCTGCTGGCGTATCAACGTAAGCGAACAGTGAGGAGGCCATTATCACCCTGCAAGTCACTGGAGCCTAGCAGGTGTGAGCCTGGCCAGTACCTGGATTGGAGAGCTGCTGGGAAGGGTGAGGTTGCTGCTGGAAGAGGTGTTAGTGGGACCAGTAGGGGGGCGCTCACCCTGCAGTCTGTGTGGGTCCCCAGTATAGTGATGGGAACACGATGCACTCATACCCCGGTATACGAAAGTTCGATATATGAATTTTCGCTAATCCTCACAAAGAATTTGTATCTTGTAATTCGTAAGAACAAAAGTTCGCTAATCTGAACTGTGAAAGTCCGAAAGTGACCAATTTATTAGCCGAGAACCTTCTGCAAACATCTGGATTCAGCGCCATCAAACAGCTGTTTGTGGGTAAGGACACCGTGAGGCAGCACTGCTTTGTTTACCAACACAGCGAAAGCTTGCGCTCTCATTATCAAAGTGTTTTTTTGTGTTTGTTTTGTAGTTACTGTTCATTTTGGGCCCCAACACACATTTTATTTCTGACTAGGTTTTTTCTTGTCAACTTCTTTAGCGTAGTAGTTGACAACAGTATGCACGTCGGTCTAGTCAATCGCTTGGATAGCTATCTATTATGAAAGAATGAAAAATGTAAATATGAGATCATTCATTATTTTACAGCTATAGTTGGCTTGTTTGTATGTTCAGGGTGGTTATTGAGTGAACTTGTCTTCGGTTCGGAACGTGGTGGGATTTTTCCCATAAGAAATTATGGAATTTTTATTTTCAATTGATCTCCTGCCTTTCAAACTAATTTTCAGGAACGAATTAGGTTCGGATACTGGGGTATGAGTGTTCTTTAAAAAAACGCCGGCCCTTCGATGAGATGTAAAACTGAGGTGATCATTAAAAATACCAGGAGTTTCTCGAGAACAGTAGGGGTGTTACCCCGGCATCCTGGCCAAATTTCCCCCTGGCCTTTACCAGTCATGACCTCCTAATAACCCCCCTCTCTGAACTGGCTTCATCACTCTGCTCTCCTCCCCACTGAGAGCTGGTGTGTGGGGAGCTTACTGGAGCATCACCCAGGTGGGGCTGCACACTGGTGGGGGTGAAGGGGATCCCCAATACCTGTAAAGCACTTTGAGAGGAGTGTCCAGAAAACCACTGTATAAGTGTAAGCTATTATTATTATTATTATTATTATTTATTATTATTATCATCTTGCCCAATTTACTACTCTCCCCCAGGTCTTCAGGTGCTCCTGCATTTAAAAGACCTCTGTCAAGTGAAACCAGCGCTTCCAGGCTGGAGTCGGGCCTCTGTAGTCTAGGGAGCAGAGGAGGACATGAATATGTCTTTGTACCAGTCCTGCTGTGTTGTGTCTCCAGGGAGAAACGATCCTGCAGGAGCTGGTGGGTCTCGCCCGGAGTGGGATCACAGTCAGGGTTGCTGTCAACACCCCCAGAAAGTCCCAGCCGAAGGCCGACCTCCAGGCACTGGAGGATGCAGGTACGAGCTTTCCCTGCTCCCCAGCGAGACGGGCCTGTACAAATCCAGGAAAGATGTGCCTCCTTCCTCATGACCCCTCTGTGGAGCGAACTCTGCTGCTCTGGAGTCGGAAGCCTTGTGGGTTGTCAGTGTCGAGCGTGCGTTGTGTATTTGTCCTGCAGGAGCTGACGTGCGTGAAGTGAACATGCTGGAGCTCACCACAGGGGTGCTGCACACCAAATTCTGGGTCGTGGACAAGAAGCACTTTTTCATCGGGAGTGCCAACATGGACTGGAGATCCCTGACGCAAGTGAGCTCATGTCTGCCTTAAAAATAGTTTTCTACTATTCTGTGCCTGCTTCCTGTCCTGGGGTGTGTTCTTGGATGTTCTCTAGATTTTATTGGATTGCTGTAGAGCTGGCACTAACGTTGAGACAGCAATGTGAAGGAGTGGACTCGTAACTCGTAATCCATTCGTTTTCTAACTGCTTTATCCAGTACAGGGTCACATTGGAGCCTATCCCAGCAAGCCACAGGCACACAGCAGGGTACAGCCTGGACAGGACACCAGTCCATTGCAGGGCAGATAGACAGACACACACACACACAGACACACACCAGGGACAAGTTTCCCAGAAGCTAATTTAACTACCAGTACAGTATGTACATTTCACATCAAAGACTAACTGTGGACAAAATACTTAGCTCAGATTGTTCCATTATTAAACCCGGCTGGATGAATGTGTACAAAAGTAACACTGTTTAGAAGTTAGAAAGTATCTTCAAAACTGATTGTGGGGAGTCAGGAAGGATATCACAGTGATATATGTTTTTGTGCAGGATGCTTCTCTGATGACCGTTGGAACACTGTTCATCACTGATCGTAGTCCCTGATAGGGTAGTTTTTGAGAAATACCGTCTTTAGTTCTGGAAATAAGATTCTGTTGTTCAGGTTGTTGCACTTTTCTGTTGTTTGGGTGATGAACACTGGCCATTGAGAAGGTAGCTTGCTTTTCATTTATGCCGCGTATGAATAATAATTTGAGAGATGGAGTGTGGGCAGATGTATCTGCACAGAGGCCTGTAGCCTGCTGGTGGGAGTGCTGTGATAGCTGTGGTCAGATTTACTGTGCAGAGCTTTTATTTTTAGTGAACAAGTCTTTATTATGTTTAAATGATGCATGTAAATAAATCGATATTTAAATGATTTAAATTGCGGAACCAATTAAGAAAAAGGAACATGGAAAACAATGTAACCACTGACATGAGGGAAGCACTGTAAACGTTTGCAAGGAGTCACAGGCCTGGGGATCATGTCCTGCAGGTGAAGGAGCTGGGGGTCGCTGTGTACAACTGCAGCTGTTTGGCTCAGGACCTGGGGAAGATCTTTGAAGCCTACTGGTTCCTGGGCCAGGAGGGGGCCAGCATCCCCAGCCATTGGCCCAGCAGCTACTCCACCCCCTACAACAAGGACACGCCCCTGGAGGTGGAGCTCAATGGAACCTCTTCAGACGTCTACCTGTCGGTAAAGAAGTCATGAGTCATGATTCTAATTTTAATAGTGGACTAAAGCCGTGCTCATAAGAGTACTGTAATAAAAACACAGACAGATGATCATCAGGGAAATGAGAGGAAAGGGTTGAGCTGCGATTTGACTGTGTGAGGGGAGGCAGGAGGTTGGGGTATGGCCGTCGGTGGTGTCCCTCTGAAAGCTGCTGTCTGTCCCAGAGTGCTCCTCCTGCCCTGTGCGGCGATGGCAGGACTCCGGACCTGGAGGCCATCCTGAGCGTCATCCAGGATGCCCAGGAGTTCGTCTACATCGCCGTCATGAACTATCTGCCCACCATGGAGTACTCCCACCCCAAGAGGTGACTGTGAGCAGTGTCCATCAGTCAGCCGCGGTCGTTTCTGTGCTGTGCAGCGCCCTCTCAAGGCACTTGACATGATTCGTACAAGAGATATGTGATGTTTCACACGGTGGAATATAGAGGAGCACTGTCTGTCTCTGATTGGCCCGTCTCCTCGCAGCTCAGTTTGGCTCATTGCAGTGCAAGTATCTGATCGATGTTCAGCATTCACACACTCATTCATTCGTCTATCCCCCCCTCTTGAATGTTCCTGCTGAGCTGAGCTGGACAGTTTGTTTCAGACCTCCACAACTCTTTATGTAAAGACCCTGCCCTATTTTCCTCTCCAGCTCCAGTGGCTCCAGGCCTCGTTTTAGATGGTCTTGTTGTTAGTTGTTCTTGCCCCCCCCATCATCACGTTGTGTTTATTTCCTGGCCCTCCGAGGGGTCGGCCTTGTCAGATTCGCTGACCTGCTCCCTCTCTGACCCCCCAGGTACTGGGCCGACATCGACAGCCAGCTGCGCAGGGTGGCGTACGAGCGCAGGGTCCGGGTCCGCCTGCTCATCAGCTGCTGGGGTAGCTCGGAGCCCACCATGTTCCCCTTCCTGCGCTCGCTGGCCGCGGTCCACGATCCCACCAGCAAGCTGGACATCCAAGTGGTGAGGCCTTCTTCTCCGCACTCCGGGGCGCCAGAACTGGTCCGGCACGACACCCCACCGTCGCGCTGCGTAGAGCAGCGATTAGGACTTGGGGCTCCTGACTGGGCGGTTGTGGGCTGCAGGTGCTGCTGTTGAGAATCATCCTTCACCCCAGTTGCTTCAGTCTACCCAGCAAATATAAGTGGGGAAACCAGCAACAGTGGGGCCTAAACTGCCTCTAGGGGGCAGTCACATGTCCTCAGCGTACTTCAGAGCTGGTCTAAGATCTGGCCTGGTGAGAGTCTAGGCGTGAATGTGGACTTTGCCTCATGTTTGTGCAGTCCGAGTATCAGTGTGGAACAACGGTCAGGGTTCTGAGCTCCTAACTGGACGGTTGTGGGGTCAGATCCTGGCTGAGACTGCGGCTGTTCCCATGAGCAAGGAACTCCAGTAAAATACCCAGCTGTACATAAATGGGTGCTCTGGATTAAAATGTCAGCCAGATCAGTTAGAGGTGAGATTGCTGAACCTTTGGTTGAGGTTTACTGCGGACGATGATTAGTACTGAGTCTAAATTATTCCCCTCAGATGATACTGATCAGAGGAAATTGAACTTTTCACTCTAGGACACCAGCAGCTGGAGTGCAATGACACCTGTCTTGCTCTTCCTGCATCCTGCTCTGTCATCCCAGATCCCTTTTCTGCCTGTATCTCCCCTCCAAATAAAACTGCCGGAACAGGGGAAAGAAGCAGTTAAAATGTAGCTACAATTACTTCAGGACCTGGACCAGTCCTCAGGTTGGAACGGCCATGTGAACGACCATAGGAATACGGTTCCCGTGGGGGCCAAGCATTTCTGCAGTCGAACAGCTTTAACCTCATCTTGTTGTTTGGGCTCAACAGAAGCTGTTTGTGGTTCCTGCCACACCCAGCCAGAAGGAGATCCCCTTCGCCAGAGTCAACCACAACAAGTACATGGTGACGGACAAGGTGGCCTACATCGGTAAGCTGACGCACCACAGGGACCGACCTGGGTGACTGGGGCGTCCTTCACGAGATGACCTGACAGCAGCGTGTCAGCTGCCCTGACACTGGCGCTGATAACTGAGCTGGGTCGAATGGCCCGTTTCTTTTGCGAGAATCGAATGCAGGGCTCTGGTTCTGGAGAGAGTCCACAGTGTGGTCTGGTCTTCATTCCAGCTCAGTGCTGAATGACTTCGTTAGATTAATCAGTTGCTTCGTTTAGGAGGCGTCGACAAGCTTTCAGGATCTCTGCTCATTGAAAAGCTACCGATAGGGCTTGCAGGACCAGAACTTGAGCTTATCATTCCTGATGATTAGGAAGTGTTCCACTCTTCCACCACCCTCTGCGTAAAGAAGTTCTGTTCTCAACCTTCACCTTAGCTTCCACTATTTTTTTCAGTGGTTTGTGTTTCAGCGTTGACCCTGAAGTCAAATCATGTCGGCCTCGTAGTCTTCTCTGTTCAAGATTAAAATCTGTTTTTGTCGGTGTTGGACACTTCCTGAGTACAGAGAGCACATCTTGAAAATCACAGTAGTTTAGTTATACTGAGGCTTGTGAGTCATCTGCAGATACAAATATTTTTATCGGGTCTTTGTTCAATGCTGCGTAAGAAAACTACAGTTAAATAGCTGGTATTTCTGACAGCTTTGTTCTTCCAGAAAAGAAAGAAAGAGCTGTAGGTTTCCTCATTAGGACCTGCTGAACACAAGACAGGTGTTCTTTGCAGGAAGAGGTCCCTGTCGGAGAGAGAAAAATCCAGGTCTCTGAGGACAAGGAACTTCCCTGGTGTCTTCCCTGACACTACGAATGCTCTGGCTCGGTGCCCCAGCTGTAGTTCTGGCCCTGATGCTGTGCTCCTGTCCCACGCAGGCACGTCAAACTGGTCCGGCGACTACTTCCTGCACACAGCCGGGTCGGCGCTGGTGGTCAACCAGACCGCGGCCCAGTCCGCCGGCGGCACCGTGCAGGAGCAGCTGCAGGCCGTGTTCCAGCGGGACTGGGACTCCGCCTACAGCACCCTGCTCAGCGAGGCCACCGGGGCCAAGGACCTCTGCCCCGGCCAGTAAGAGGGGCGACCAAGGGGCACCCAGCCCCACAGTGGGGCTCCAGTAAAAGACCCCTTTTAAAAATGGATGTAAATAGAAGTATCTTTGCAGGAAAGCATCACCCAAATAGTCATCAGTAATGGGAGCGAGTGCTGCTGCCCCACAGATACTGGGCTCCTGGCACTGATTCTGGCCATGGGTACCTTCTGGAGTGAAGTTTGCATGCTCTTCCATGTTTCTCAAGGTGCTCCTGTTTCCTACCATCTTCGAAGGGCCTGCTGGTTAGGCTCATTGTGCCCCAGGAGTGTTCCTGTGTGCTGTGTGACTATACCCCCAATCCCAGGTATAATACTGCTCTCTACCCTGTATTTCCAGGAGTCTTGCCAGGAATATGCAGCTTCATGACACTTTATGGTGGATAGATAAGTGTGACTAGAGTCCTGTCCAGCTGGGGAGCCGCCATGTGACCTGGTTTGAACCCTGGGCTTCTAGGATAGCCCCGCCCAGATCTGCGGCTCTCTGATGCGGCCGGGTGAAACTGTAAACTTGAAAACAAGTATTCAAAAGCCATTCGAATATGTTACACCCATCTCTTAGGGCTGAACTCCAGCTGAAAACGGAATCCTTTATAGAAAGTATCTGACTGTCCTGAACTGATTATCCACAACTCCACAAAACGGATTCATCTGGTCACCGGAAGACTAAAAGAAGTTTGGTCTCTCTGTCTGCTGCCTACTTTGGAGTTATTGTTTACCTAGCAATACTGTAGTTGTACTGTTTTTTCATTTGGGAAATAGTTACTTTGATTTTTAAATACTTGATAGTTCTGTAGTTAACAATCTAATTGATTCACAGATGGGTTGGTGCTGTGAAATAAAAGACTTTAGAAATTCAAATACTTTAAAAGATTGCTGTTACAAAACAGATCGTTGTATAGATAATATATTTTCTTCTAATCAGCCATCAAATAGCCAAAGTATTTTTTACCTTCTCCACATTTTTCAAAAGCCACAACACTCTGAATCCTTGAGGTCATGGTGCCGTTTCTGAGCATCGGTACGTGCTTAAAGACTTCATGAAGACGTCAGAGAGCAGTGCAATCTGTCTACATTCTGTAGAGGGCGTGTCACTTGGAAGTCTCTAGGTTGACATTTCATGACTCTGTACTGAAAGCCTGTGGCCAGATTCCTTCAACTGTAATCAAAGGGGAATAAAGGGAAATTTGGAATTCTTACCTGACAGTGTGATTTCAGGGATGAGTAATATAAATATTGGAAATATAAATGATTGATGGTCGGTGTTGGTGGGAATGTTTGTTTAGGATGATGAATTCTAACTCTTCAGTGTTACCCAGGATAATCTCTGCCACCATGAGGCAGGAACCACTTTACTGTTCGATTATTTAACTACCTGAATTATAAAATTATCTGTATCTTCCCTTCATCGCTCTGCTGCTCTGCTGTTCCTTCAAGCCCTTGTGTCTCTTTTTCCTGCCGAAAGATGTTGTAATTAACAGCCCCACCGCTAGATCTAGAAAAAATCCACATGCTAGCAGGCATTTCATCAGTTTTTCATTTGAAAAAAAATGTGAACCAGTGTTTCTGAAAGCAGACCTGTTTATTATGCCATAAGCCATCCAGACACAAAATAAATGTTTGACTGGTCAGTACTGGGACACTGAGCAGCTGGGCTGGTGCTCGTAGGGCTGAGATGAGCAAGTGAGACCTTTCCTTTATTGTGAGCAGTCTGCTGCAGTCCATGAGTGAGCATGATGGAGGCAGGGCTGCTCCTGCCCTTAGTCCCTCTCTGGGCTCCTCTCCTGCTCCGGCGCCAGGATCCTTATTGGTGGCTCTCCAGGGGGAAAAGCCTGTGCAGGCCGAGGCTGCTGTACATCCTGAGGGCGGATTGGAACTCGTGATCCCAGTCAGCGGCAGCATAGCAGGGCAGCTCTCCCCTCTCGCCGCAGTGAAGCTGGGCTCCCCGCTGCAGGAAAGGAGAACTGGGGGTGTGAGCAGGAGCAACATTGTCATGGTCATTCATGGAGCAGCGGTGTTCATTTGCTACACTCTTGCAACACTTCTGATTGATGCAGCAGTGTTGTTGCTCTCAGTGGTGGCAGTATTACTGTCCAGTGGAAGCAATGAGATTTGTTTAGAGCCGCATGTGGCTCCCAAGACAAAGACCTCCTTTCTTTTCTAAGGGGGGAAATTATTTGCAGCAAAGCCCCGATGGTGTGTAACATGCCGACAGGGCGGCAGCTCTCCTGCGGAGGGGATTCAGGTCGGGGCTCGGGAAAGGCCGTCGGCCCGGGCGGAGCTTACCTCGGCATCGGGG